TGTGCCCCAAAATTGGGAAATATGGGGGTTCTGTGCCCCAAAATTGGTAAATTTGGGGTCTCTGTGCCCCAAAATTGGGCGATTTGGGGTCCCTGTGCTCCAAAATTTGGAACTTTGGGGTCTCTGCACCCCAAAAATGGGAACTTTGGGGTCCCTGCACCCCCAAAATTGGGACATTTGGGGTCCCTGAACCCCAAAATTGGGAACTTTGGGGTCTCTGCTCCCCAAAAATTGGGAAATTTGGGGAGTCAGGGATCCCTGCACCCCAAAATTTGGATGGTTGGGGTCTCTGTACCCCAAAATTAGGAACTTTGGGGTCGCTGTGCCCAAACTGGGAAGTCTGGGGGGTCCCCGCACCCCAAAATTGAGCTCGGGTGGAGTTCGGGGTCCCCCCACCCAAAATTTGGCACTTTAGGCTCTCTGAACCCCCAAAATGAAAAATTTGGGGTCTCTGCACCCCCAAAATTGGGAATTTTGGGAGGGCCGGGAAAGTCCTGCCCCCCCCAAAACTGAACCCAGCAGTGCCGGGGGTCCCATGGGCGCACCCCAAAAATTCGGCCACTCCGGGGGGGGGGAACTTTGAGGGGTTTTTGGGGGTCCCCGCACCCCAAAACTGAGCCCGGGAGGGGGGTCGGGGGTCGCCGCACCCCAAAACCGCCCCCACTGCAGAACTGGGGTTCCCTCTCCCCCCACCCCAAAATTTCGGGACCCTCCAAGCCCCTCCCCCATTTCCTTGGGGGGTCCCGGGGGTGTTCCCGCCCCTCCCCCCCCAGTGCCTCCCAGTGCCCCCCATCCGGCTGTGCCGGTGGATCTGAGGTGCCCGCCTTACCGGCAGCCCCCGGTGTTTCCCGGTGCCCCAGATTCCCCCGGTGCCCCCGGGTGCTGCGGTGCCCCCGGTGCCCCAGTTCCGCCGGTTCCCCGGTGCTGCGGGTGCCCCGATCGCCTCCGGTGCCCCCGGTTCTCCCGGTAAACCCGGTACCCGCCGGCTTTGGGAGTGCCCCGCTGCCCCAGTTCCCCGGTAACCCCCGGTGTGATGGGGCCCCCCCGTTCCCCGGTAACCCCCGGTGTGATGGGGCCCCCCGGTGTCCCCGGTGCCCTAAACTCGGTGCTTGCCCCAATTTCCCCCGGTACCCCCGGATTTTTGGGTGCCCCAGTTCCCCGGTGCCTCCCGTTCCCCGGTGCCCCCGGTTCCCGGCAGGAGCGGCCCCGCCGCGGCGCTTCCCGGCACGGGCTGAGTAATTCGGGGCGCGGGGCTGACTCAGCGCCCCCAAACCCGGGGTCCCCCCGGTGCCCCCGGTGCCCCCCAGCCGGTGCCTCCCGTTCCCCGGTGCCCCCGGTTCCCGGCAGGAGCGGCCCCGCCGCGGCGCTTCCCGGCACGGGCTGAGTAATTCGGGGCGCGGGGCTGACTCAGCGCCCCCAAACCCGGGGTCCCCCCGGTGCCCCCGGTGCCCCCCAGCCTATACTGGGAGCCCCCAGTCCCATACTGGGCCATACTGGGAGCCCCCAGTCCCATACTGGGCCATACTGGGAGCCCCCAGTCCCATACTGGGCCATACTGGGAGCCCCCAGTCCCATACTGGGCCATACTGGGAGCCCCCAGTCCCATACTGGGCCATACTGGGAGCCCCCAGTCCCATACTGGGCCATACTGGGAGCCCCCAGTCCCATACTGGGCCATACTGGGAGCCCCCAGTCCCATACTGGGCCATACTGGGAGCCCCCAGTCCCATACTGGGCCATACTGGGAGCCCCCAGTCCCATACTGGGCCATACTGGGAGCCCCCAGTCCCATACTGGGCCATACTGGGAGCCCCCAGTCCCATACTGGGCCATACTGGGAGCCCCCAGTCCCATACTGGGCCATACTGGGAGCCCCCAGTCCCATACTGGGCCATACTGGGAGCCCCCAGTCCCATACTGGGCCATACTGGGAGCCCCCAGTCCCATACTGGGCCATACTGGGAGCCCCCAGTCCCATACTGGGCCATACTGGGAGCCCCCAGTCCCATACTGGGCCATACTGGGAGCCCCCAGTCCCATACTGGGCCATACTGGGAGCCCCCAGTCCCATACTGGGCCATACTGGGAGCCCCCAGTCCCATACTGGGCCATACTGGGAGCCCCCAGTCCCATACTGGGCCATACTGGGAGCCCCCAGTCCCATACTGGGCCATACTGGGAGCCCCCAGTCCCATACTGGGCCATACTGGGAGCCCCCAGTCCCATACTGGGCCATACTGGGAGCCCCCAGTCCCATACTGGGCCATACTGGGAGCCCCCAGTCCCATACTGGGCCATACTGGGAGCCCCCAGTCCCATACTGGGCCATACTGGGAGCCCCCAGTCCCATACTGGGCCATACTGGGAGCCCCCAGTCCCATACTGGGCCATACTGGGAGCCCCCAGTCCCATACTGGGCCATACTGGGAGCCCCCAGTCCCATACTGGGCCATACTGGGAGCCCCCAGTCCCATACTGGGCCATACTGGGAGCCCCCAGTCCCATACTGGGCCATACTGGGAGCCCCCAGTCCCATACTGGGCCATACTGGGAGCCCCCAGTCCCATACTGGGCCATACTGGGAGCCCCCAGTCCCATACTGGGCCATACTGGGAGCCCCCAGTCCCATACTGGGCCATACTGGGAGCCCCCAGTCCCATACTGGGCCATACTGGGAGCCCCCAGTCCCATACTGGGCCATACTGGGAGCCCCCAGTCCCATACTGGGCCATACTGGGAGCCCCCAGTCCCATACTGGGCCATACTGGGAGCCCCCAGTCCCATACTGGGCCATACTGGGAGCCCCCAGTCCCATACTGGGCCATACTGGGAGCCCCCAGTCCCATACTGGGCCATACTGGGAGCCCCCAGTCCCATACTGGGCCATACTGGGAGCCCCCAGTCCCATACTGGGCCATACTGGGAGCCCCCAGTCCCATACTGGGCCATACTGGGAGCCCCCAGTCCCATACTGGGCCATACTGGGAGCCCCCAGTCCCATACTGGGCCATACTGGGAGCCCCCAGTCCCATACTGGGCCATACTGGGAGCCCCCAGTCCCATACTGGGCCATACTGGGAGCCCCCAGTCCCATACTGGGCCATACTGGGAGCCCCCAGTCCCATACTGGGCCATACTGGGAGCCCCCAGTCCCATACTGGGCCATACTGGGAGCCCCCAGTCCCATACTGGGCCATACTGGGAGCCCCCAGTCCCATACTGGGCCATACTGGGAGCCCCCAGTCCCATACTGGGCCATACTGGGAGCCCCCAGTCCCATACTGGGCCATACTGGGAGCCCCCAGTCCCATACTGGGCCATACTGGGAGCCCCCAGTCCCATACTGGGCCATACTGGGAGCCCCCAGTCCCATACTGGGCCATACTGGGAGCCCCCAGTCCCATACTGGGCCATACTGGGAGCCCCCAGTCCCATACTGGGCCATACTGGGAGCCCCCAGTCCCATACTGGGCCATACTGGGAGCCCCCAGTCCCATACTGGGCCATACTGGGAGCCCCCAGTCCCATACTGGGCCATACTGGGAGCCCCCAGTCCCATACTGGGCCATACTGGGAGCCCCCAGTCCCATACTGGGCCATACTGGGAGCCCCCAGTCCCATACTGGGCCATACTGGGAGCCCCCAGTCCCATACTGGGCCATACTGGGAGCCCCCAGTCCCATACTGGGCCATACTGGGAGCCCCCAGTCCCGTCCTGGCCCCGCGCGTTTCCTGTCCCGGGGCCGTGTCCCAGTTGTGGCTTTGTGGCTCCGGCAGCGCCAGCACAGGGTGACAGGGGACACTGGGGACAATGGGGACATTGGGGAGGTGACACAGGTCCCACGGGTGACACCCGAGCCCATGGGGGACCTCCTGGTCCCACAGGTGACACGTGAAGACACAGGTGACACCTGGTCCCACGGGTGACACAGCAGCCCATGGGGACACCTGAACCATGGCAGGACACGGGTGGCACTGTGGGTCCCACGGGTGCCTGGTGACAGGGTCCCCGTGCCTGTGTCCCCATGCCAGTGTCCTGTGCTGGTGTCCCCATGCCAGTGTCCCCTGCCCGTGTCCCCATGCCACTGTCCCATGCCAGTGTCCCATGCCAGTGTCCCATGTCAGTGTCCCATGCCACTGTCCCATGCCAGTGTTCCATGCCAGTGTCCCGTGCCAGTGTCCCATGCCCATGTCCCCAGGCCACTGTCCTGTGCCAGTGTCCCATGCCAGTGTCCCATGACAGTGTCCCATGACAGTGTCCTGTGCCGGTGTCCCGTGCCAGTGTCCTGTGTCAGTGTCCCATGCCCATGTCCCCGTGCCACTGTCCCATGCCTGTGTCCCCATGCTACTGTCCTGTGCCAGTGTCCCATGCCAGTGTCCTGTGCCAGTGTCCCATGCCCGTGTCCCCATGCTACTGTCCTGTGCCAGTGTCCCATGCCCCTGTCCCTGTGCCAGTGTCCCATGCCAGTGTCCCGTGCCAGTGTCCCGTGCCAGTGTCCCCATGCCACTGTCCCCATGCCAGTGTCCCATGCCAGTGTCCTGTGCCAGTGTCCCATGCCCCTGTCCCTGTGCCAGTGTCCCATGCCAGTGTCCCGTGCCAGTGTCCCGTGCCAGTGTCCCCATGCCACTGTCCCCATGCCAGTGTCCCCGTGTCCCCCCAGCCCACATCGAGGTGATTCCCTGCAAGATCTGCGGGGACAAATCCTCCGGGGTGCACTACGGGGTCATCACCTGCGAGGGCTGCAAGGTGACACGGGGACACGGGGGGGACAGGGGACACGGGGACATGGAAGGACAAGGGAGCGTGCAGGGGATAAGGGGGGACATGGGACATTGGGGACATTGGGGATATAGGGGCAAGGGGGGACCTGGGGACATTGAGGGCATTGGGGACATGGGGATATAGGGGCAAGGGGGGACATGAGGATATGGGGACATGGGGACAAGGGGGGACATGGGGACAAGGGGGATGTCAGGGGGACTTGGGGACATGGAGGAATATGGGGACAAGGGCGGACATGGGGACCATGGGGACATGGAGGGGACATTGGGACAGGGGGACATGCGGGATATGGGGACATTGGGACAGGGGGACATGGGAGGACATTGGGACAGGGGGACACGGTGCCGTGGGGTGACACGGGTGACGCTGGTGACACGTGTGACACGGTGCCACCCCAGGGCTTCTTCCGGCGCAGCGAGCGGCGCGGGCCGAGCCTGGCGTGTCACCGCGGGCAGCGCTGCGACATCGACCGCGCCACCCGCACGCGCTGCCAGCACTGCCGCCTGCAGAAGTGCCTGCGCCTCGGAATGTCCCGCGACGGTGTGTGACACGGGGACAGCGAGGGGACAGCGCGGGGACACCAAGTGTCAGCCCGGGGACAACGGGGACTGTCCCTGGGGACAGCGCCCTGTGCCCCTGGGGACATCTGGACCACCCTGGGGACATCTGGAACCCCTGGGGACACCGGGGACTGTCCCTGTCCCCTGGGGACATTGCCTTGTGACCCTGGGGACATCAATCTGTTACCCTGGGGACATCGCCTTGTGACCCTGGGGACATCGCCTTGTGATCCTGGGGACAGCTGGAACCCCTGGGGACACCGCCCTGTAACCCTGGGGACATCAGTCTGTTACCCTGGGGACATCTGGAACCCCTGGGGACAGCGCCCTGTGCCCCTGGGGACAGCTGTCCCTCGCCCCTGGTGTCCCCGCATTTGGGGACACCTGTCCCCCAAAGCTGCAGCCCCCCGCCCCCTCCCTGAGGACCCCTGTCCCCACCCCGGCGCCACCTGTCACCGCCCTGGGGACAGCCCGAGGTGTCCCCGCGCGCGTGTGGCACTCCGGTGTCACCCGCTGTCCCCGCTGTCCCCGCAGCCGTCAAGTTCGGCCGCATGTCCAAGAAGCAGCGGGACCGGCTCCAGGCCGAGGTGCGGGAACAGCTGGAAAAGCGGGAGAAAAACCGGGAACAGCACCGGGAACAGCTGGAACAGCTGGAGCACCGGGAACAGCCGGAAAACCGGGAAAACCGGGGGAAATGGGGAAAATTGGAAAAGCGGGAGCAGGAACGGGCGGCCCCGGGGCCACCGCAGCCCCCCCCGGCGGGGCGCTGTCCCCCGTTGTCCCCCGCTGTCGCCGCGGGCTGTCCCAGCAGGGCGTGGCCCGCGGAGGAGGCGACAAGGAGGGGACAGGACGGGGACAGGGCGGGGACAGCGGGGACAGCGGCGACGGGGCCGATCCCTCAGCCCGGTACCGGCGGCGTCCCGGAGTCACCCGCGGGCCTGGAGATCGGTGAGTGGCCCTGGGGACTGTCACCTGCGGGGCTGGCAGTGTCACCTGCGGGGCTGGCAGTGTCCCCTGCGGGGCTGGCCGTGTCACCTGCGGGGCTGGCCGTGTCACCTGTACGGGCACGGCTGGTGACACCTCGGGATGTCACCTGTGGTGCTCCATGGTGGTGGCACCGGCTCTGTCACCCGTGGATGCCACCACGCTGGTGACTCCTTACCCACCAAGGCCACACACCGGGCCACCCTCCCTGTCCCCACGCCTGTCCCCAAGCCCTGCATGTCCCCTCAGAGCTGCTGACACAGAGTGTCCTGCTGTCACACCATGTCACCCCTGTCCCCTCAGAGCTGCTGACCCAGTGTCCTGCTGTCACACTGTGCCACCCCAGTGTCCTGCTGTCACACCGTGTCACCCCTGTCCCCTCAGAGCTGCTGACCCAGTGTCCTGCTGTCACACCGTGTCACCCCTGTCCCCTCAGAGCTGCTGACACAGTGTCCTGCTGTCACACTGTGCCACCCCAGTGTCCTGCTGTCACACCGTGTCACCCCTGTCCCCTCAGAGCTGCTGACACAGAGTGTCCTGCTGTCACACCGCGCCACGTGCCACCCCCGCGCCGAGGACCTCCAGGGCCACCGCTGGGTCACCTTCAGCCCCGAGGAGATCCGCGCCTACCAGAGCCAGGTGCGGGCCGGGCGGGGGACGCGGCTGTCCCCAGGGGTGGCGCGGCTGTCCCCGGGGGTGGCGCGGCTGTCCCCAGGGGTGGCATGGGGGTGACAGCCACTCTCGCAGCCCACGGCGGAGATGTGGCAGCGCTGTGCCCGCCGTGTCACCGAGGCCATCGAGCGCGTGGTGGAGTTCGCCAAGCGCCTGCGCGGCTTCCTGCAGCTCAGCCAGCACGACCAGATCGTCCTGCTCAAGGCGGGTACGGCCACCGCGTCCCCGTGTCACTGTCACCAGCCCAGGGCCACCCCGGGCCCTGGTGCACACTCACAGGGACGCCCCGGCCCCTTGTCACCAGCCCCAGGGACACTGTGACGCCTTGTCCCCAGCCCCAGGGTCACCCCATCACATTGTCCCCAGCCCTAAGGACACTCTGTCCCCTTGTCCCCAGCCCCAGGGCCACCACATGTCACTGTCCCCAGCCCTAAGGACACTCTGTCCCCTTGTCCCCAGCCCCAGGGCCACCACATGTCACTGTCCCCAGCCCCAGGGACACCCCATCACATTGTCACCAGCCCAAGGGCCACCCTGTCGCCTTGTGACATTGTCCCCAGCCCCAGGGCTATCCCATCTCCTTGTCTCCAGCTCTGGGGCCACCCTGTCCCCTTGTGACAATCCCGCGTGTCCCACGGGGAGGTGACAGTCCCCAAAATCACCCCCATCCTTTCTGTGGAGGTGACAATCCCATGTGTCCCACGGCGAGGTGACAGTCCCCAAAATCCCCCCCATCCTTCCTGTGGAGGTGACAATCCCGCGTGTCCCACGGGGTGGTGACAGTCCCCAAAATCCCCCCCATCCTTCCTGTGGAGGTGACAACCCCGCGTGTCCCACGGCGAGGTGACAGTCCCCAAAATCCCCCACATCCTCCTGCCGAGGTGACACCACCCGGGGCCACCACCGCGGCGTCCCCTCCGCACCCCCTGGATGCGGTGGCGGTGTCGCCGGTGCCAGCAGCGCTGTCGCCTGCCGCGGTGCCAGGTGCCATGGAGGTTGTCCTGCTCCGGATGTGTCGCGCCTTGGACGCCGCCACCGGCACGGTCCTGTTCGAGGGCAAACTGGCGGGGCCCGAGCTCTTCCGCTCGCTGGGTAGGGCGGCGACACGGCCGGGGGACGCTCGGGGGACACTTGGGGACAGCGGTGACACCGGGCTGTCCCCAGGGTGTCCCGAGCTCGTCGCGTCCGTCTTTGACTTCGCGCGGGGGCTGAGCGCGCTGCGCTGCTCCGAGAGCGAGCTGGCGCTGCTGAGCGCGCTGCTGCTGCTCAACGCCGGTCAGCCCTGTCCCCGAGTGTCCCCGAGTGTCCCCAAGTGTCCCCAAGTGTCCCCCCGGCGTCCCCACCCTTTGTCCCGCTCCGTGTCCCCACCCCGTGTCCCTCCCCAAACCTCAAACGGGGTTTGTCCCTGAGCGCGGTGGGCGGCGGGGTGTCCCCAAGGTGTTCCCAGGGTGTCCCCGGGGTGTCCCCCACAGTGTCCCCAAGGTATTCCCACGCTCGTGCCCCTGTCCCCACGCCGTGTCCCTGTCCCCACACCCTGTCCGTGTCCCCACGCCGTGTCCGTGTCCCCACGCCGTGTCCCTGTCCCCACGCCCTGTCCCTGTCCCCACGCCGTGTCCGCGCCACGCGTGTCCCCGCGGTGACAGCCGTGTCCCCGCGTGTCCTCGGTGTCCCAGCCGTGTCCCTGGGTGTCCCCGCGGTGCCCCCGCCGTGTCCCCGCGTGTCCTCGGTGTCCCAGCCGTGTCCCTGCCGTGTCCCCGCGGGGACAGCCGGGTCCCCACGCGTGTCCCTGGGTGTCCCCGCCGTGTCCCCGCGGTGACAGCCGTGTCCCCACGCGTGTCCCTGGGTGTCCCCGCCGTGTCCCCGCGGTGACAGCCGTGTCCCCGCGTGTCCTCGGTGTCCCAGCCGTGTCCCTGCCGTGTCCCCGCGGTGACAGCCGTGTCCCCGCCGTGTCCCCGCAGCTGCCCGCCCCGGGCCGGCTCCGCGCTCTGTGCTCGCAGCACCTGGAGCAGGTGCAGGCTTTCCGCCGCCTGCACCCCGCGGGGGTCTCGGCCGCCTTCCCCCCGCTCTACCGGGAGCTCTTCGCCCCCGACCCCGCCGATGGCCCCGCGGGGACCCGCTGAGCGCCGCCCGGGGACCACCGGGAGCATCCGTGACCCTGCTGAGCGCGACATCGGGACCGCCGGGACCCCCGGGATCACCGGGACCGCCGGTATTACCGGGATCACCGGGACCGCCGGGATCACCGGGACCGCCGGTATTACCGGGATCACCGGGATCACCGGGACCGCCCCTGCAGCTGAGCACACCTGGGGGTGCTCCCACCCCGGCACCTGCCGGGAATGCGGCACCTGGAGGGGACCCGCCACCCACGGGGCCCGGCACCTGGCGGGGCTGTCCCCCGTGGGTGCCCGGTCCCCGTGGGTGCCCGCTGTCCCGGTCCCCGCGGGTTCCCGCTGTCCCCGGGCCCCGCGAGCTGTCCCACGGTCCCCACGCGGTGGCGGAGCTCGGTGGGGCGGCGTTGGAGGGGAATAAAGGCGTTTTTGGGGAGCGCCGGTGTGTCCGTGGGCTCCGTCACGGGGGACACGCGGGGACACCGGGAGCGGCATTAGAGCCCGCCCCGCGCAGCGCTCCGAGCGCCCATAGGCTCCCGTGACTGTCACTCAAACTAGAAGGCGGGCATTCGTATTTTCTGGCTCTCTGATTGGTTCGCCTCCAGCTACTTGCCATTGATTGGCTGCTTTATTCCCGTTATTTCCCGCCCCCGCATGTGGGAGGTCTCGCGGGGATTGGCCGCTGCTCCGCAAGCCGTGATTGGGTGGGATCCTTGCGGGCTGCGCTGTGATTGGCTGGGAGGGGAGGAGCCGCGATGTGATTGGTGGCTGGCGGGAGGAGGCGGGGCCAGCTGCGGGGCGCGGGAGGCGGCGGCGGCACCGGGGCCACACCGGGCCCGAACCGGGGCCGGGCCCGAACCGGGGCCTCTCGCGGCCGGGCCGGGCCGAGCCAGCGCCGCTACTGGGCCGGGGGGCGGCCCCGGCACCTGCAGGTACCGTGAGACCACCGGGGGGCGCGGCCGCGGTGGCTGCAGGGGCTCCGCTGCCGCTGCACCGGGCTCGGGGCCTGCACCTGAGCCGAGCCCCCCGTGAGGGCACGGGTGGGGGGGGACGGCCGGGGAGTCCCCGCGGTGAGGGGCGCAGCGCGGCCCGGCCCCACCGGGAGCTGCCGGTGGTCTCTCGGTTAGCCCCGGTAAAGGCCCGGTAACGGCGCGGTAAGCCCCGTCCGCAGGCGGCGATGGCGGGACGCGGCTCCGTGCACAGCCTGAGCAGCCTGCAGAAAACCGCCCTGCTCCTGGGCGTCCCGGCCGCGGCCACCGTGCTCTACATCCTGTACCGGCGCTACCGGGAGAGCCGAGGTGGGTGCGGGTCCCGCACCGGGGCCTGGCCTCGCCCCCCCGGTACCCCCGGGAGCTCCCGCGCGGAGGGGGAGCCTGCGGGAGTCGCTTTTTCCCCAGGGAATTCCCTTGTGAGCTCCTCAGGGAGGTCCCTGTCCCTTTGGGACCCTTTGGGGACACCCTGGGGACACCTTGGGCACACTTTGGGGACCCTCTGGGGACCCTTCAGGGACACCTTGGGGACCCTCTGGGGACACCCTGGGGACACCTTGGGGAAGGGGATGTTTTTGGAGTCACTTTTCGCCCAGGGAATTCCCTTGTGACCTCCCTGTCCCTTTGTGACCCTCTGGGGCCACCTTGGGGACCGACATTGGGGTGACCCTGGCTCGGGGGGTTCCCTGCGCGTGTCACGCGTGTCCCCCCCGTGTGTCCCCGCGGTGTCGCAGTCGTGTCCGTGTGGTGACAGCCGTGTCCCTGGGTGTTCCCGTGTGTGTCCCCGCGGTGACAGCCGTGTCCCCACGCGTGTCCCCGCGGTGACAGCCGTGTCCCCGCGTGTCCTCGGTGTCCTCCCTAGGAAGTGGGGGCCCCTTGGAGTCACTTTTCCCGCTGGGAATTCCCTTGTGAGCTCCCCAGGGAGGTCTCTGTCCCTTTGGGACCCTTTGGGGACACCTTGGGGATACCCTGAGGACACTTTGGGGACACTTTGGGGACCCCCTTGGAAGCGGAGCCCCCTTGGAGTCCCTTTTCCCGCCGGGAATTCTCCGTTCCCTGTTTGTAACCCCCCTGGGAGGGATCCCAATCCCTTCCTGTCCCTTTGGGGACCTTCTGGGGACACTTTGGGGACCCTTGGGGGCACTTTGGGGACCCCCTGGGAAGCGGAGCCCCCTTGGAGTCCCTTTTCCCGTTGGGAATTCTCCGTTCCCTGTTGGTAACCCCCCGCCCCGGGGGTCCCGGCCCCTCCGTGCCCCCCCGGGACCCAGCCGTGTCCCCGCTGTCCCCTCAGAGGCACAGGTGACGCTGGTGGCAGACGAGGGGCTGGAGGTGGGGCTCAGGGTGCCCCGCACGGCCCTGAAAGCGCTGATCGGCCGCCGGGGAGCCACCATCAACCAGGTGGGGCAACTGGGAAACTGGGGAACTGGGGAACTGGGAAACTGGGGAACTGGGGGTGCTGGGAAACTGGGGAACTGGGGGTGCTGGGGGAACTGGGGGTGCTGGGGAACTGGGGGTGCTGGGGAATTGGGGGTGCTTACCCTGGACTGGACTTACGACTTTAGTGACTGGGAGTAGGCTATTTATTTTTCTCCGTTTGAGACCAAAGTATTAAATCACAAAATCACACATGCTGGGGGAACTGGGAGTGCTGGGGGAACTGGGAGCACTGGGGGAACTGGGGAACTGGGAGTGCTGGGGGAACTGGGAATGCTGGGGGAACTGCCGGCACTGGGGGAATGCTGGGGGAACTGGGAGCGCTGGGGGAACTGGGAACACTGGGGGAACTGGGGGAACTGGAAGCAATAGGAGCACCAGAAGCACCGGGTGTGCTGGGGGAACTGGGGGAACGGGGGGAACTGGGAAGGACTGGAAGAAACGGGAGATGCTGGGGGAACTGGTGGAACTGGGAGCACTGGGGGAACAGGGAAACACCGGGAGTACCAGGAGCTCTGGGAGTACTGGGGGAACTGGGAGTACTGGGGGTGCTGGGAGGGACTGGGAGCACTGGAGACACTGGGAGCACTGGGAACTCTGGGAGCACTGGGGGAACTGGGAGCACCGGGAGCACCGGGAATGCCGAGGGGGGCCTGTCCCGCAGCTGAGGCAGGAGACGGGAGCCCAGATCGAAGTGGAGGAGGAGGAGGAGGAGGAGGAAGGGGGGCAGTCCCTGGTGCAGATCTCGGGCTCGCCGGGCCAGGTGTGCCGGGCCAGGGCGGCCGTGCTGCGCATCGTGGCCGACAGCGCGCCCGTGGCCGAGCAGCTGCGCGTGCCCCAGCGGGCCGTGGGCAGGATCATCAGTACAGGGCACCCCAAAAGCCGGGGGGATCCTTCTGTGCCTCCTGGGACACCCCAAATCCCCAGGGAACCTTCCATAGCCACAGAGACACCCCAAATCCCAAGGGAACCCCAAACCCCAGGGTACCAAGCACCTGTGTGTTCCCCAGCAGTGAACAGGCTGTGGACAGGATCATCAGTACGGGGCACCCCAAAACCTGCAGGGAACCTTCCATAGCCACTGGGACACCCCAAATCCCCGGGGAACCCCAAACCCCAGGGTACCAAGCACCTGTGTGTTCCCCAGCAGTGAACAGGCTGTGGACAGGATCATCGGTACGGGGCACCCCAAAACCTGCAGGGAACCTTCCATAGCCACAGGGACCCCCCCAAATCCCGGTGCAACCCCAATCCCAAACTCCCTTCCCACCCCCAGCCCTCACTCCCTTTGAGAACCCCCCCGAACCCCCTCTCCCCGCTCCTCACGCCCCCCCGGTTCCCCTCCGGGACGCTCCGGTGCCCTCAGGCCGCGGCGGGGAGACGGTCCGGGCCATCTGCCGGAGCTCGGGGGCTCGCGTGGAGTGCGGCCACGAGCCCGACGCCAGCCTGGCCCCGCTGCGCATCATCCGCCTGCTGGGGACGCGCAAAGAGGTGGAGGCGGCCAAGGTGAGCTGGGCGTAACCCCCGCCTTGAGCCCGGTTTAACCCACCCCGGGAGCCTCCTCATCCTCACCCGGTGCCTCCGGCAGAAGCTGATCATGGAGAAGCTGTCGGAGGACAAAGCGTTCCGCCGGGAGCTGGCGCAGGCGGCGGCCGCGCGGTGCCCGCGGAAGCAGCCCCTGGGCAGCCGCCGGGAGCCGCCGGCACCGCCCGCCGCTCCTCCCGGGAGCCCCGGCGGTTGGCAGGAGTGCTGGGATGTGGATTGGGCACCGGCGGCCGGCACGGAAACAGCGGCGGGGAGCGAGGGGACGGAGACGGGCGCGGAGCCCGGGGATGGCAGCGAGGAGCCGCCCGTGGCCAAGTTCGAGGGTGAGAGCGGCGCTGGGGTGGTTCCCGCTGGGAGCCGCGGGTGGGGATGGATTTCCTGGGAATTTCGGGATCTGGGGAGGGTTTGGTGGGGTTTCAAGGTTCCCCTGGGCCATGGATGTCCCAGTGGTGTTTTGGGTGGGTTTTGAAGGGATTTGGGGTGGGTTTCAGTGGATTTCACTGATTTCGGGGTTCCCCCATGCCGTGGCTGTCCTGGTGGGATTTCAGGTGGTTTTGGGGTAGGTTTCAGGTAGATCTCAGTGGATTTGGGGTAGATTTCAGTGGATTTGGGGTGGATTTGGGTAGATTTCAGTGAATTTCAGGTAGATTTCAGTGGATTTTGGGTAGATTTCAGGTGGATTTTGGGTGGATTTCAGTGGATATCAGGTAGATTTCAGTGGCTTTTGGGTAGATTCCAGTGGATTTCAGGTGGATTTGGGGTAGATTTCAGTGGCTTTTGGGTAGATTTCCGTGGATTTGGGGTGGATTTCAGTGACTTTTGGGTGGATTTTGAGTAGATTTCGGTGGATTTCAGTGCATTTTGGGTGTATTTCAGTGGATTTGGGGTGGATTTCAGTGGATTTTGGGTAGATTTCAGTGGATTTTGGGTGGATTTCAGTGCATTTTGGGTGGATTTCAGTGGATTTGGGGTAGATCTCAGTGTATTTTGGGTGGATCTCAGTGGATTTTGGGTGGATTTCAGTGTATTTTGGGTGGTTCAGGTAGATTTCAGTGGATTTTGGGTAGATTTCAGGTGGATTTTGGGTGGATTTCAGTGGATATCAGGTAGATTTCAGTGGCTTTTGGGTAGATTCCAGTGGATTTCAGGTGGATTTGGGGTAGATTTCAGTGGCTTTTGGGTAGATTTCCGTGGATTTGGGGTGGATTTCAGTGACTTTTGGGTGGATTTTGAGTAGATTTCGGTGGATTTCAGCGCATTTTGGGTAGATTTCAGTGCATTTTCGGTGGATTTCAGTGGATTTGGGGTAGATTTCAGTGCATTTTGGGTGTATTTCAGTGGATTTGGGGTGGATTTCAGTGGATTTTGGGTAGATTTCAGTGGATTTTGGGTGGATTTCAGTGCATTTTGGGTAGATTTCTGTGTATTTGAGGTAGATCTCAGTGGATTTCCCCGCTCTGGGGGCTCCCACAGTGCCCAGCCCGGATTTCAGCTTCCCTGCTGACGAGCACCTGGACGTTTACGTGTCGGCGGCCGAGAGCCCCGGGCACTTCTGGATCCAACTGCTGGGCACTCGCAGCCTGCAGCTGGACAAACTGACAGCTGAGATGGGCCACTTCTACCAGAGCAGCCCCCCCGTGAGTCCCCTGTGTCCCCTCGGTGTCACCTGTGTCCTCCCAGTGTCCCCTCTGTCCCATTTGTGTCCCCTCTTGTGTCCCATCTGTGTCCCAACACCGGGCAAGTTCATGGCCAAGGTAGGGCAATTCTACCAGAGCGGCCCCCACCGTGAGTCCCTGCTGTCCCGTGTCCCCTCAGTGTCCCCTCAGTGTCCCCTGGTGTCCCAGCATTGTCCCCCACCCTGTCCCCACTATGTCCCAGCGCTGTCCCCTATCCTGTGTCCCCCTCCCCATCCTGTGTCCCCTCCTGTCCCAACACTGTCCCATCATACCCCCCTGACTGTCTCCATGTCCCCTCCCATCCCAGCATTGTCCCCTCATGTCCCTCCCGTGTCCCCTGACTGTCCCAGCACTGTCCCCATGTCCCCTCCTGTTCCAGCACTGTCCCATCATACCCCCCTGTCTCCATGTCCCCTCCCATCCCAGCACTGTCCCCATCATGTCCCTTACCCCCTGTCCCCATGTCCCTGCTGTCCCAGCACTGTCCCCATCATGTCCCTTACCCCCTGTCCCCATGTCCCCTCCCATCCCAGCACTGTCTCCATCATGTCCCTTACCCCCTGTCCCTGCTGTCCCAGCACTATCCCCATCATGTCCCTTACCCTCTGTCCCCATGTCCCTGCTGTCCCAGCACTGTCCCCATCATGTCCCTTTCCCCCTGTCCCCATGTCCCCTCCCATCCCAGCACTGTCCCCTCATGTCCCTCCCTTGTCCCCCTCCTGTCCCAGCACTGTCCCCATGTCCCCTCCTGTTCCAGCACTGTCCCCACATCCCTGCTGTCTCAGCACTGTCCCCACCATGTCCCTTACCCCCTGTCCCCCTGTCCCTGCTGCCCCAGCACCATCCCCTCACGTCCCCCCCGTGTCCCCTGACCGTCCCTGTGTCCCCAGGTGCCACCCCCGTCCGTCCATGCCGGGGCCATCGTGGCCGCTCCGTACCTGGACGATGGCGAGTGGTACCGGGCGCGTGTCCTGGGGACGCTGGACAACGGCCACCTGGACCTGTACTACGTGGACTTTGGGGACAACGGCCAGGCCCCCCTCGAGGCTCTGCGGGCCCTCAGGTGTGGCAGGGAGGTGACATTGCCGGGATGATGTCCCCGTCCCCTGGGATAATGGCGCTGTCCCCAGGGAGTGCCCTCACCGTGTCCTTGCAGGAGCGACTTCCTGAGCCTGCCCTTCCAGGCCATCGAGTGCAGCCTGGCCGGGATTGTCCCCAACGGTGAGCGGGGTGGGACAGCCCTGTCACTGCTGGGGGTGGCACACGGCCCTGTCACTGCTGGGGTGGGACAGCCCTGTCACTGCTGGGGTGGCACACGGCCCTGTCACTGCTGGGGGTCACCTGCTGGGGAGGGACAGCTCTGTCACTGCTGGGGGATGGCACACAGCCCTGTCACTGCTGGGGTGGGACATGGCTCTGTCACCTGCTGGGGTGGCACAGCCCCGTCACTGCTGGGGGTGGCACAGCCCTGTCACTGCTGGGGGTCACCTGCTGGGGTGGGACAGCTCTGTCACCTGCTGGGGTGGCACAGCCCCGTCACTGCTGGGGGTGGCACAGCCCTGTCACTGCTGGGGGTCACCTGCTGGGGTGGGACAGCTCTGTCACCTGCTGGGGTGGCACAGCCCCGTCACTGCTGGGGTGGCACGGCCCTGTCACTGCTGGGGTGGCACATGACCCTGTCCCGTCCTGGGGTGGCACATGACCCATGTCACTGCTGTCCCAGTGTGTCCAGTATCCCGGTGTCACCCCTGTCCCCAGTGTGTCCCCACTGGTGGCACGTGGCCCGAGGCAGGCCTGCAGGTGTTCGAGCAGCTCCCCTGTCCCCGTGTCACTGTCACAGCTGTCCCCATGTCCCCGCAGGTGGCACGTGGCCTGTCCCAGCATTGTCCCCCACCCTGTCCCCACTATGTCCCAGCGCTGTCCCCTATCCTGTGTCCCCCTCCCCATCCTGTGTCCCCTCCTGTCCCAACACTGTCCCATCATACCCCCCTGACTGTCTCCATGTCCCCTCCCATCCCAGCATTGTCCCCTCATGTCCCTCCCGTGTCCCCTGACTGTCCCAGCACTGTCCCCATGTCCCCTCCTGTTCCAGCACTGTCCCATCATACCCCCCTGTCTCCATGTCCCCTCCCATCCCAGCACTGTCCCCATCATGTCCCTTACCCCCTGTCCCCATGTCCCTGCTGTCCCAGCACTGTCCCCATCATGTCCCTTTCCCCCTGTCCCCATGTCCCCTCCCATCCCAGCACTGTCCCCTCATGTCCCTCCCTTGTCCCCCTCCTGTCCCAGCACTGTCCCCATGTCCCCTCCTGTCCCAGCACTGTCCCCACATCCCTGCTGTCTCAGCACTGTCCCCACCATGTCCCTTACCCCCTGTCCCCCTGTCCCTGCTGCCCCAGCACCGGCCCCTCACGTCCCCCCCGTGTCCCCTGACCGTCCCTGTGTCCCCAGGTGCCACCCCCGTCCGTCCATGCCGGGGCCATCGTGGCCGCTCCGTACCTGGACGATGGCGAGTGGTACCGGGCGCGTGTCCTGGGGACGCTGGACAACGGCCACCTGGACCTGTACTACGTGGACTTTGGGGACAACGGCCAGGCCCCCCCCGAGGCTCTGCGGGCCCTCAGGTGTGGCAGGGAGGTGACATTGCCGGGATGATGTCCCCGTCCCCTGGGATAATGGCGCTGTCCCCAGGGAGTGCCCTCACCGTGTCCTTGCAGGAGCGACTTCCTGAGCCTGCCCTTCCAGGCCATCGAGTGCAGCCTGGCCGGGATTGTCCCCAACGGTGAGCGGGGAGGGACAGCCCTGTCACTGCTGGGGGTGGCACACAGCCCTGTCACTGCTGGGGTGGGACATGGCCCTGTCACTGCTGGGGTGGGACAGCCCTGTCACCTGCTGGGGGTGGCACACGGCCCTGTCACTGCTGGGGTGGGACATGGCTCTGTCACCTGCTGGGGTGGCACAGCCCCGTCACTGCTGGGGGTGGCACAGCCCTGTCACTGCTGGGGGTCACCTGCTGGGGTGGGACAGCTCTGTCACCTGCTGGGGTGGCACAGCCCCGTCACTGCTGGGGTGGCACGGCCCTGTCACTGCTGGGGTGGGACATGGCTCTGTCACCTGCTGGGGTGGCACAGCCCCGTCACTGCTGGGGGTGGCACAGCCCTGTCACTGCTGGGGGTCACCTGCTGGGGTGGGACAGCTCTGTCACCTGCTGGGGTGGCACAGCCCCGTCACTGCTGGGGTGGCACGGCCCTGTCACTGCTGGGGTGGCACATGACCCTGTCCCGTCCTGGGGTGGCACATGACCCATGTCACTGCTGTCCCAGTGTGTCCAGTATCCCGGTGTCACCCCTGTCCCCAGTGTGTCCCCACTGGTGGCACGTGGCCCGAGGCAGGCCTGCAGGTGTTCGAGCAGCTCCCCTGTCCCCGTGTCACTGTCACAGCTGTCCCCATGTCCCCGCAGGTGGCACCTGGCCCAAAGCAGCCCTGCAGGCGTTCGAGCGGCTCCCCTGTCCCTGTGTCACTGTCCCCATGTCCCCGCAGGTGGCACGTGGCCAGAGGCGGCCCTGCAGGAGTTCAAGCGGCTGTGCTGTCCCTGTCCCCATGTCACTGTCCCCATGTCCCCATGTCCCCGCAGGTGGCACGTGGCCCGAGGCGGCCGTGCAGGAGTTCGAGCGGCTCACGGGCTGCGCTCAGTGGTGCCCGTTGGTGGCGCGGATCTGCAGCTACGGCCCTGCCAGGAAGGGACAGCTCTGTCACTGCTGGGGGATGGCACAGCCCTGTCACTGCTGGGGTGGGACATGGCCCTGTCACCTGCTGGGGTGGGACATGACCCTGTCCCCTCCTGGGGTGGCACATGACCCATGTCACTGCTGTCCCAGTGTGTCTGGTGTCCTGATGTCACTGTTGTCCCTGGCGTGTCCTGGTGTGACCGGTGTCCCAGTGTGTAACCGCTGTCTTGGTGTCACCACTGTCCTGCTGTCCCCAGTGTGTCCCCACAGGTGGCGTGTGGCCCAAGGCAGCCCTGCAGGAGCTCGAGCGCTGTGCTGTCCCTGTCCCCATGTCACTGTCCCCATGTCCCCATGTCCCTGCAGGTGGCACCTGGCCTGAGGCGGCCCTGCAGGCGTTCAAGCGGCTCCCCTGTCCCTGTGTCACAGCTGTCCCCATGTCCCCGCAGGTGGCACGTGGCCCGAGGCGGCCGTGCAGGAGTTCGAGCGGCTCACGGGCTGCGCTCAGTGGTGCCCGTTGGTGGCGCGGATCTGCAGCTACGGCCCTGCCAGGACCTGCCCGCGGCCCCGCCTGCGCCTCTTCGCACAGCGGCACGGCCAGGTGCGCCAGCGGCCGCCAGGGCCACCACAACTGTCCCCAAGTGTCCCCGGGGCCACCACAGCTGTCCCCAAGGCCACCAGAACTGTCCCCAAGTGTCCCCGGGGCCACCACAGCTGTCCCCAAGGCCACCAGAACTGTCCCCAAGTGTCCCCGGGGCCACCACAGCTGTCCCCAAGGCCACCAGAACTGTCCCCAAGTGTCCCCGGGGCCACCACAGCTGTCCCCAAGGCCACCAGAACTGTCCCCAAGTGTCCCCGGGGCCACCACAGCTGTCCCCAAGGCCACCAGAACTGTCCCCAAGTGTCCCCGGGGCCACCACAGCTGTCCCCAAGGCCACCAGAACTGTCCCCAAGTGTCCCCGGGGCCACCACAGCTGTCCCCAAGGCCACCAGAACTGTCCCCAAGTGTCCCCGGGGCCACCACAGCTGTCCCCAAGGCCACCAGAACTGTCCCCAAGTGTCCCCGGGGCCACCACAGCTGTCCCCAAGGCCACCAGAACTGTCCCCAAGTGTCCCCGGGGCCACCACAGCTGTCCCCAAGGCCACCAGAACTGTCCCCAAGTGTCCCCGGGGCCACCACAGCTGTCCCCAAGGCCACCAGAACTGTCCCCAAGTGTCCCCGGGGCCACCACAGCTGTCCCCAAGGCCACCAGAACTGTCCCCAAGTGTCCCCGGGGCCACCACAGCTGTCCCCAAGGCCACCAGAACTGTCCCCAAGTGTCCCCGGGGCCACCACAGCTGTCCCCAAGGCCACCAGAACTGTCCCCAAGTGTCCCCACAGCTGTCCCCAGAACTGTCCCCAGGTATCCCCATTCCTGGTGTTCCCAGAGCCATAGGCAGGTGTGTCACCAGCGTCCCCACAGCTGTCCCCAAGTGTCCCCAGAACTGTCCCCAAGTGTCCCTGTTCCTGGTGCTCCCTGTGCCACAGCCAGCTGTGTCCCCAGCTGTCCCCTCACCGCAATTCCCGCCATTCCCTGTCCCTGTCCCTGTCCCTGTCCCCACTCCGGTGTCCCCGCAGAGCCTGGACGTTGGAGCGGAGCTGGTGCGTTTGGGCTACGCCGTGCCCGGGCCCCCGGAGGAGCCCCCGGTGAGCTGCTCCCGGTGTCCCCGTGTCCCCTCCCGGTGTCCCCGTGTCCCCTCCCGGTGTCCCCGTGTCCCCTCCTGATGTCCCCGTGTCTCCTCCCGGTGTCCCCTCCCGGTGTCCCCTCCCGGGAGGGCTCATCCCGCTCTTCCCGGGCAGGACAATCTCGGCTGCGCCTCCATCCCGAGCCCGCCGGAGCCCGGTGACAGCCCCGGGACCCCGTCCTGCCTCAGCCTGCCCGGTGAGCCCGGGCCGTCCCGGTGACACCGTGCCGGTGACACTTCCCGGTGTGTCCCTGCCCCGGGAATGGTGTCGGGACCCCCGTGCCCGGTGCCACCGGGAGCCGCTCCCGGTGCCACCCTTGAGTCGCCCTGTCCCCAGGGTCACCAGAACTGTCCCCAGGGCCACCACAACTGTCCCCAGGGTCACCACAACTGTCCCCAGGGTCACCACAGCTGTCCCCAAGTGTCCCCACAGCTGTCCCCAGAACTGTCCCCAAGTGTCCCTGTTCCTGGTGCTCCCTGTGCCACAGCCAGCTGTGTCCCCAGCTGTCCCCTCACCGCAATTCCCGCCATTCCCTGTCCCCACTCCGGTGTCCCCGCAGAGCCTGGACGTTGGAGCGGAGCTGGTGCGTTTGGGCTACGCCGTGCCCGGGCCCCCGGAGGAGCCCCCGGTGAGCTCCCGGTGTCCCCGTGTCCCCTTCTGATGTCCCCGTGTCCCCTCCCCGTGTCCCCTCCCGGTGTCCCCGTGTCCCCTCCTGATGTCCCCGTGTCTCCTCCCGGTGTCCCCTCCCGGTGTCCCCTCCCGGGAGGGCTCATCCCGCTCTTCCCGGGCAGGACAATCTCGGCTGCGCCTCCATCCCGAGCCCGCCGGAGCCCGGTGACAGCCCCGGGACCCCGTCCTGCCTCAGCCTGCCCGGTGAGCCCGGGCCGTCCCGGTGACACCGTGCCGGTGACACTTCCCGGTGTGTCCCTGCCCCGGGAATGGTGTCGGGACCCCCGTGCCCGGTGCCACCGGGAGCCGCTCCCGGTGCCACCCTTGAGTCGCCCTCTCCCGGTGACCCCATCCCGGTGACCGGAGCTGCTCCCGGTGCCACCACCGAGTGCAATCCGGAGCCCTCCGGGAGGCCGGACCGACAAATCGCGGGGATCTCCGCTTGTGCCTCTTGTCGGGATACGACACGCCGGGGCCGAGGGCCGGCGGTGCCCCTTCCGTTACCGGGAGTTCCCGGTTCCCTCGCCTTGTTTTGCTGTTCCGTTGCACTAATTGTGGTTCTGGGTTAATAAAGTTGAAGGTTTCTCAGCGCTCCGTCCCCGCCGCGGCGGCTCCCGGCGGGAACCGGGCGCAGGCGCGCCGCGGGCAGCCCCCGGTGGGGTCCTTGCGCTCCGGTGCGCGCGTCCCGCGCAGGCGCGCCAGGGCAGCCGCGCCGGGCTCTGCGCAGGCGCAGTGCGGACAGCGCGGGGTGCTCGGTGCCGTGAGGGAGCGGGGCCGCCATGTTGGCCCCGGGGGCGGCGGGACGGGCGCTGAGCCGGGCCCTGAGCCTGAGCCATGGCCCGGTGAGGGCCGGGACACCGGGAGTGGCGGGGCAACGGGCCCTGAGCCTGAGCCATGGCCCGGTGAGGGCGGGGGCACCGGGAGTTGCGGCGGGGGGCGTCTGAGGGTGGGTACCGGGGGAGAGGGACGGGCTTTGACCCAGAGCGGAACGGCTCCGTCGGTAGCGGGGGCGGCGGGATGGGCCCTGAGCCGGCCCCGTAACCTCGTTATGGAACCCTATAGACCCCATTGACCCTATAGACCCCATAACCCCATAGCCACATTATAGAACCCATAGACCCCATAACCCCGTTATGGAACCCTATAGACCCCATAACCCCGTTATGGAACCCCGTAGACCCCATAACTCTTTTATGGGACCCTATAGGCCCTATAACCCCATAGCCACATTATAGAACCCATAGACCCCATAACCCCGTTGTGGAACCCTATAGACCCCATAGCCCGGTTATGGAGCCCTATGGACTCCACAGCCCTATAGACCCCATAAACCCCATAACCCCATTATAGAACCCCATAGACCCCGTTATGGAACCCTATAAACTGCACAGCCCCTATAGACCCCATAACCCCATTATAGAACCCCATAGACCCCGTTATGGAACCCTATAGACCCTATAGACTCCCTAACCCCATAGCCACATTATAGAACCCATAGACCCCATAACCCCGTAGACCCCGTTATGGAGCCCCATAGACCCCATAGCTCTTTTATGGGACCCTATAGACCCCATAGCCCGGTTATGGAACCCTATGGACTCCACAGCCCCTATAGACCCCATAACCCCGTTATAGAACCCCATAGACCCCGTTATGGAACCCTATAAACTGCACAGCCCCTATAGACCCCATAACCCCATTATAGAACCCCATAGACCCCGTTATGGAACCCTATAGACCCCATAGGTCTGTTATGGAGCCCTATAGACCCCGTTATGGAACCCCATAGACCCCATAACTCCTATAGACCCCACAGCCATCCTTATGGAACCCTATAGACCCCATAGCCCCGTTATGGAACCCTATAAACCCCACAGCCCCTATAGACCCCATAGATCCCACGAGCACACTCTAGAACGTTCCATACCCGCGGGGCTCGGTGCCCCATCCCAAGCCCTGCTCCCATCAGAACCCTTTAGAACATTCTGGAACCCTGCAGAGCTCAGTGCCCCATCCCCATCCTGAGGCCTGTTCTCATCAGAACCCTTTAGAACCTTCCAGAACCCCTCAGGGCTCAGTGCCCCGCTCCCATCAGAAGGTTCTGGAACGTTCCGTGCCCGCAGGGCTCGGTGCCCCATCCCCATCAGAAGGTTCTGGAACGTTCTGTGCCCGCAGGGCTCAGTGCCCCATCCCCATCAGAACCTTCTGGAACGTTCCGTGCCCGCAGGGCTCGGTGCCCCATCCCCATCAGAACCTTCTGGAACATTCCGTGCCCACAGGGCTCGGTGCCCCATCCCCATCAGAAGGCTCTGGAACGTTCCGTGCCCGCAGGGCTCAGTGGTGGTGGAGCGCGTGTGGCCGGTGCCGCTGGGCCGGGTGGGAGCGGCGCCCCGGCTGCACCCGCGGCGGCACCGGGTGTACCGGCTGCTGCGGGACGGGAAACACCTGCCCCGGGGCAACATGGAGCTGCTGCTGAGCCGCGCCGTGCAGGGTGAGCGGGCATGGGGAACGGGCAGGGGGAGCGGGCAGGGGGAACGGGGCCGGGGGTGCCTCATTCCTTGGGTCTGGGGGTGCCTCATTCCCTTGGGGTGCCTTGTTCCCTGCAAGCTTCTCATTCCTTTGGGGTGCCTCATGCCTTGGGAATCCCTCTTTCCCTGGGGTCTGGGCGTGCCTCATTCCCTGGGGGTGCCTCATGCCCTGGGGTGCCTCATTCCTTGGGGTCTGGGGGTTCCTCATGCCCTGGGGGTGCCTCATTCCCTGGGGTCTGGAAGCTCTTCATTCCCTTGGGGTGCCTCATGCCCTGGGGTCTGGGAGCTCCTCATTCCCTTGGATCTGGGAGCTCCTCATGCCCTGGGAGCTCCTCATGCCCTGGGAGCTCCTCATGCCCTGGGAGCTCCTCATGCCCTTGGGGTGCCTCATTCCCTGTGGGGGTTCCTCATGCCCTGGGGGTGCCTCATTCCCTGGGGTCTGGGAGGGAGTGCCTCATTCCCTGGGGGTGCCTCATGCCCTGGGGTGCCTCATTCCTTGGGGTCTGGGGGTTCCTCATGCCCTGGGGGTGCCTCATTCCCTGGGGTCTGGAAGCTCTTCATTCCCTTGGGGTGCCTCATGCCCTGGGGTCTGGGAGCTCCTCATTCCCTTGGATCTGGGAGCTCCTCATGCCCTGGGGTCTGGGAGGGAGTGCCTCGTTCCCTGGGGGTGCCTCGTTCCCTGGGATGCCTCATTCCCTGGGGGTGCCTCATGCCCTGGGGTCTGGGAGCTCCTCATGCCCTTGGGGTGCCTCATTCCCTGGGGGTGCCTCATTCCCTGGGGTCTGGAAGCTCTTCATTCCCTTGGGGTGCCTCATGCCCTGGGGTCTGGGAATTCCTCATTCCCCAGGAGTTCCTCATTCCCTGGGGATCCCAGGAGTTCCTCATTCCCTGGGGTCTGGGAGTTCCTCATCCCCTGGGAATCTGGGAATTCCGTGTGCCCTGGGATCCCAGGAGTGCCTTATTCCCTGGAAATCCAGGAATTCCTCATTCCCTGGGGTCTGGGAATTCCTCATTCTCTGGGCTCTGGGAGCTCCTCATTCCCTGGGAATCCCTCATTCCATGGGGTCTGAGTTCCTCATTCCCTGGGGATCTGGGAATTCCTCATTCCCTGGGATCCTGGGATTTCCCAGCATTCCCAGCTGAGTTTTGACTCCCAAACCCAACAACCCCATGGAATTTCTCTTTAATTTCATAGAATTTGATAGAAAATCCCTGGAATTTACCCCGCTTTGGGCTTTACCCCCCAGGCTGCCGTGGCAGCTGGGATTCCCCAGCATTCCCAGGTGACTTTTCCCAATTTTCTGGCAGACCTGGGCAGCCGTGGGGACGTGGTGAGCGTGAGGAAGAGCCTGGGCAGGAACAAGCTCCTTCCCCAGGGCCTGGCCGTGTACCCCTCCCCGGAGAACCTGCGCATCTTCCAGCAGGAGAAGGAGGTCAGCAGCTCCTCAGGGAGCCTCTCCAAACCTTGGAAAACCCAGGGAAAAGCAGGAATTGGGGCTTTAGAGGCTCTTTGGGATCAGCCCACACGCCTTTCGGGGGATTTTTGGGATGGGAGGAGCTGGTTGCCTTAGGAATGCAATCCCAAATTGAGCCTTGATCCCTAAAAAATTCCTCTGGGGAGCCCAGGAGGGTTTGGGATGAGGGGAGAGCCCTCCTGGCCTTGCCAAGGGGTGATTCCTTCCTCCTGATCCTCCTCCATCCCTGAGCTTTTCCCTTTTATCCTCCTCAATCCCTGTTTTTCCCACTTTTCCTCAACCTCTTTTCCTCCATTTCTTTTCCTCAATCCCCATTTTTCCCATTTATCTTTATAAATCCCATTTTCCCTCCTCAATCCCAATTTCCCCCATTTTCTCCTCTCAATTCTATTTTTTCCTTTTTTGTCTCCCAAATCCCATTTTTCCCCATTTTCTTTTTTAAGTCACCATTTTTTCTCCCATTTCCCCTCCTCAATCCCATTTCCCCCGTTTTCTCTCCTCAATCCCATTTTTTCCCCCATTCCCCTTCCTCAATCCCATTTTTTCCCCCATTCCCCTTCCTCAATCCCATTTTTTCCCATTTCCCCTCCTCAATCCCATTTTTTCCCCCATTTTCCCTCCTCAATCCCATTTTTCCCCCATTTCCCCCATCCCATTCCCCCCTAATTCCCATTTTCCCATTCCCAGCTGGCGCAGCAGGGGAAGCTGGAGGAGCCCCAAACCCAGAGCGGGCAGAAGGTGAGTGGGGTCCCCCATCCCGAAAACCCCAAAATCCTGGGAATTCCCCCCAGGAATTCCTGGATCCCTTTCCTTTTCCCAGACCCTGGAATTCCTGCGGCGCTGCCGGCTCCAGGTGGGGATGAAGAACAACGTGAGCTGGGAGCTCAACCCCGACATCGTGGCCCGGCACTTCCTCAAGAACGTGAGCAGGATTTGTGGGGTTTTGGGATTTTTGGGGTTTTTGGGATTCCCAGGGCCAAATCCCAGGGTTTGGGCTCATTCCCAAAGGATTTGGGGGATCCAGGCCAGCCCTGCTCCCGGGATTTGGAGTGACTCTCTGGTTTTGGGGCCATTTCTGGATTTTGGGATCATTCCCATGTTTTGGGGCCATTTCTGGGATTTGTGGCCATTCCTGGATTTTGGGGCCATTTCTGGGATTTGGGGCCATTCCTGAAATTTGGGGCCATTTCTGGGATTTGTGGCCATTCCTGGAATTTGGGGTCATTCCCAAAGGCTTTGGGGTTTCCACAGGGTTTGGGGGGCTCTGTCCATCTCTGCTCCCAGGATTTGGGGTCATTCCCAGGATTTGGGGTCATTCCCAAAGGGTCTGGGGGGCTCTGACCTGCCTCTGTTCCTGGGTTTTTGGGGTCAAATCCCAGGATTTGGGGTTCCCAAAGGATCTGGGGGGGCTGGCATGGGGCTGTGGGGGGGTCTGGGGGCTGTGCCTGCCCCTGCTGCTGGGATTTGGGGTGAGACCCCAGGATTTGGGGTGGAATTTGGGGTGAGAGCCCAGGATTTGGGGTGAAACCCTGGGATTTGGGGTGAGACCCCTGGATTGGGGGTGAAACCCTGGGATTTGGGGTGAGAGCCCAGGATTTGGGGTGAGACCCTGGGATTTGGGGTGAGAGCCCAGGATTTGGGGTGAGACCCTGGGATTTGGGGTAAGAGCCCAGGATTTGGGGTGACACTCTGGGATTTGGGGTGAGGCTGTGGGATTTGGGGTGAGACCCCGGGATTTGGGGCCATGCCTGCTCTGTTCCCGTGCCAGCTCGGGGTGTTCGTGCCCCCCCACGCCCTGCGGCTGCCACCAGAGCCCATCACACGCTGGGGACAGTACTGGTGTGACGTCACGGTGAGGGGACACAGGGGACACAGGGGAGCCCTTGCACCCCATTTCCCCCTCATTCCCTCCCCATTTCCCCCAATTTCCCTTCCACTTTCTCCCTGTTTCCCCCTCACTTCCACCCCATTTTCCTCTCCCATCCCCCCGCATTTTCCCCACTCCTCACTCCCAATTTCCCTTTCACTCCCGCCCCATTTCCCCCAGTTCCCCTTTTCACTTTCTCCCCATTTCCCTGTCATTTCCCCCCATTTCCCTTCCCCATTTCCCCCTCATTTCCCTTCCCCATTTCCCCCTCATTTCCCCCAATTTCCCTTCCCCATTTCCCCCTCATTTCCCCCAATTTCCCTTCCCCATTTCCCCCTCATTTCCCCCAATTTCCCTTGGATTTTTTTCCCCGATTTCCCCAGATTTTTCCCCAAAGTTCCTGCACCCCAAAACCAAACGCTTCCGGCACTGGCAGGAGAAGCAGCAGCAGCAGCTGGAGAGCAGCAGGGAGCGGCTCCTCTGACCCCCCCCCAGGGATTTGGGGTCCCCTGAGGTGGATTTGGGGTCCCCAAAATGGATTTGGGGGTCCCCAGAATGGATTTGGGGCCGTTCCCCCCCTCTTTGGGATTCCCTCGCCTCTGTGGAACTCCAGACATCGCCCAATTCCCAGAGCTGCAGCTCAGGAATTTTGGATTCTCCTGAGCCCCCCCAGATCCCCCTGAACCCCACTCTGCTCCAGGGGGGGTCCCTGGGGTGGATTTGGGGTCCCCGGGGTGGATTTGGGGTCCCCAGAACAGATTTGGGGCCATTCCCTCTGTTTGGGATCCTCTCTCACCTCTGTGGAACCTCGGACATCTCTGGGTTCCCAGAGCAGGACTTTTGGGTTCTTTTGAGCCCCCCCAAATCCCCCTGAGCCCCACTCTGGTCCAGGGGGGTCTGCGGGATGGATTTGGGGTCCCCAGTGTGGATTTGGGGTCCCTGGGATGGATTTGGGGCCATTCCCCCCTTTGGGACCCTGTAGAAAAGAGGGTTCAGTGAAATTTTGGGGGACTCTGGAATTCCTGTGACACCCCCTTGAACCCCAAAATCTTGGGGGGTCCCCGGGATGGATTTGGGGGGTTCCCCCTTTGGGGTGCTCCAGGATCCGGAGCAGGAATCCCCCCAGAAAAGGGGATCAGGATTTTTTGGGCGATCCCAGGATTTTTTTGGGGGGTGGTCCCAAACTTTTGTGGGGGTCTCAGGGATTTTGGGGGGATCTCGAAGTGTTGGGAGCTGTAGGATTTGGGGAAGAAAAGGCCAAAGGTTCCTGGGAGATTTCCCAAAAAAAGGGAATTTTGGGATCGGAATTTCGGCTGTTCTGAGTGAATTATTGGGGGCGGGGCCCAGCTGGGGAAGCCCCGCCCCCTCGGCCAGGTGAGCGCCGTGTCCCCAAAGTGCCACCGCGGGATGTCCCCAAAGCCACCTGGCCTGTGACCCCAAAAGGGGGGTCCCCACCTGCCCCGTGTCCCCCCAGGTGTCACCCTCGGGCCGGGGGGGGTGTGGCGGTGCCACCTGGGGCTGTCACCGGCTCGTTGCCATGACAACGGCGGGGGGGACACACGGGGACACGGCTGGGGACAGCGGGGCGTGACAGGAGGAGACATGAGGCGGGGGGACACCGCGAATGCGCCTTCCTGACCTACTGCGCCCGCGAGTCGGCCCTGAAGGCCCAGAGCGCCCTGCACGAGCAGAAAACCCTGCCGGGGGTGAGTGGGGGGGCGTGGGGACCCCCCCCGGGACACCCCCAAATCCCCCCTGTGAGCCTCCAACCCGGGACACCCCAAAATCCCCTGTAAACCCCGAAAAATCACAATGAAACCCCAAAAATCACAGTGAAACCCCCCCAAAAATCACAGGGAAATCCCAAAAATCACAATGAGACCTCAAAAATCACAATGAGACCTCAAAAATCACAGTGAAACCCCCCAAAATCACAGTGAAACCCCCCAAAAATCACAGTGAAACCTCAAAAATCACAGTGAAACCCCAAAAATCACGCAGAAACCCCCCCAAAATCACCTATAATCCCCCCAAAAATCACCCTTAAATCCTCCAAAATCACCCCTAAAAATCACCCTGAAACCCCCCCAAAGTGACACCGGGACACCGTGGGGGTGACACCGAATTGGGGACACCAAGACACGGAGGGGGTGACACCGAGGAGGGACACGGTGTGGGGGTGACACTGGCGGGTGGCACCGGCCTGGGGACGCCGGGACACGGGCGTGGGAGGTGACACGGGAGGGAAGGGGGCGGGGCTGACTTCAGCACCGGGGACAGCACCGGGAGGCGACAGTGCCGCGCAGGGGGGGAGGGGACACGCGTGGGCGGACCCCGGACCCTCCCCCCGTGCCCCCTCCGCGCGTGCGCGCGGGAGCGGCCCCGGGCCCCGCCCCCTCCCCAAAACATCCCCAACCCCCCCCCTACCCCCCCCCGGCCCCGGCGGGGCCGTTACCGGAGCCCGGAGCCCCCTCCCGGTTCCCGGTGCCGCTGGTGGTGCCGGTGTTGTGCCCGGTTCCCGGTTCCGAGCGCCCCCTCCCCGTTCCCGGTTCCCATTCCGGTGTTGCCGCCGCTGCCCCGCACCCCACGGACGGTCCCGGTGCCCGTTATCCGGTGCTTGGCCCCCGGTTCCGGTAGCCGGTTCCCAGAGCCCCATCCCCGCTCCCGGACTCCAGGTCCCGCTCTTGTCGCCGGTGCCGGTGCCCGGCAGCCAGAACCCCGTGCCCCGGTGCCGGTGCCCGTTATCCGGTCCCGGTTCCCGGTGCCGGTCCCTGTAGCCGGTCCCCAGTTCTCCGTCCCCGGTCCCGCTCCCCAGGCCTCGGTGTCGCGGCCGGTGCCGGTCCCCGGTGCCGCTCTGACATCAGCACCGGGCGGGGCGGGGCGGGGCGGCTCCAACCGGGGAAGAAAAGCGTCTCCCGGTGCCGATCCCGGTGCCGGTACCCGGTACCCGGTGCCGCTGCCCCAGCGGCCGGGGGGGCTCGGCCACCACCGGGGCTCTCGGGGACCGGCGGCCGCCGCGGCCGCCATGGACCGAACCGGGCGTTGAGCTCCCCCCGCCCCCCGCCCGGTACCGGGACCCTCCCCGAGGCCACCGGGGCGGTACCGGCGGGGCGGGCGCTCGCAGCATCCACCGGGATTTTGGGGAGCAGCACCCGGGAAACGGCCGGGACGCACCGGGAGCGCCGGGAGCGCCGCCCCCCGGGCAGAGCTGCCCCCGCCCCGCCGCGCCCCGTCCCCGGAGCCGAGCCGAGCCCCGGGGCCGCCTCGTCCTTTGTGTGCGCCGGGGCACCGGGCACCGCCGGGAGCACCGGGAGCCGAGCCCGGGCGGTGATAGCGGGGAGCGGGAGCGGCCCCGGGGCCCGGGGACCCCCCGGCGGCCCCATGAAGGAGCCCGACGCCATCAAACTCTTCGTGGGGCAGATCCCGCGGCACCTGGAGGAGAAGGACCTGAAACCGATTTTTGAGCAATTCGGGAAAATCTACGAGCTCACCGTCATCAAGGACAAGTACACCGGGATGCACAAAGGTACGGGAAGCGGCAACCGGGAACCGGGGATGGGTAAAGGGAACGGCCCCGAGGAACGGGAACGGGCAGCGGGAGTGGGGAAGGGGCAGCGGGCACGGCCCCGGGCAGCGGGGGTGGGTGCGGGGCACGGGCACGGGGGTGTGGGGGCAGCCCCGGGATTCGGCCACCGGTACCGGGAACGGCCCCCAGTACCGGGATCGGCCCCCGGTACCGGGATCGACTCCAGGATATGGCTCCTGGTACAAGGAACGGCCTCCGGTACCGGGATTAGCCCCAGGATGTGGCCCCCGGTACCGGGAATGGCCCCCGGTACTGGGAATAGCCCCCGGTACCGGGAATGGCCCCCGGTACTGGGAATGGCCCCAGGATGTGGCCCCCGGTACTGAGAGCAGCTGCCGGTACCGGGAATGGCCTCGTGATGTGGCTCCCAGCACCGGGGACAGCCCCAGGTGCCGGGAATAGCTCCCAGGATGAGAAATAGCCCCGGGATACGGCCCCAGATACCGGGATCAGCCCCGGGATGTGGCCCCCGGTACCGGGAGCGGCCTTGTGATACGGCTCCCGGTACTGGGAATTGCCTCAGGATGTAGCCCCCGGTACTGGGAACAGCCACGAACACCGGGAATAGCCCCGGGGTACAGCCCCGGTACCGGGCACAGCCCCGTGCCACGGCCTCCAGCACCAGGAACAGCTCCCGGTACCGGGAACAGCTCCCAGCACCGGGAATGGTCCTGTGACACAGCCCCGGTACCGGGAACAGCCCTGGGATGGGGTCCCCGGGACTGGGAACAGCTCCCGGTACTGGGAATGGCCCCAGGATACGGCCCCGGTACCGGGAACAGCCACTGTCAGCAGGAATAGCCCCGTGATAAGGCCTGGGGTACCGGGAACAGCCCCGGGTACAACTGAGGGCACCGGGAACAGCCCCGGTAACCGGGAACAGCCCCAGGAACAGCCCCAGGTACAAACGAGGGCCCCGGTACCGGGAACAGCTCCCGGTAACCGGAACAGCCCCGATGTTGGGAACCACTCCAGATCCAACCTCTGGTACCAGGAGCAGCCCCACGAATGGTACCGGTACAACCGAGGGTACAGGGAACTGGGAACAGCCCCCAAAACAGTGCCCGGTACCGGGAACAGCGCCGGGTACGACCAAGGGCACCGGGAACAGCCCCAGGAACAGCCCCAGCACAGCCAGAGGCCTTGAGCAACACCCACAGCTCAAACTACAGCCGCAGGCCTGGGTACAGCCCCGGGCACCAGGAACAGCCCAGGGTACAGGCGAGGGCACTGGGAACAGCCCCGGGTACAGCCCCGGGCACCGGAACAGCCACAGCCCCCCAGCCCAGCCAGGGTACCCCGGGTCAGGGTGTTGTACCCCAGTGTTGGGGGTGAGGGCGGCTGTGTGGCCACGGGGCAGGCAGGGACTTTGTCAGGTGTGGGGTGTTGTGTCCGACTGTTGTGGGGCTGGGTGAGTGCAGGCTGTTGTTGCTGGGCTGTTGTTCAGGTGTTGTTGGGTTGTTATTGGGCTGGTTTTTTGCTGAGCTGTTGTTGTTAGAGTGTTGTCGGGCTGTTGTTGTTGGGCTGTTGTTGCTAGGAGCTGTTGAGGTGTTGTTGTTGGGCTGTTATGCCTGGCTGTTGTTGCTGGGGTGTTGCTAGGCTGTTGTTGGGGTGTTGTGCCTGGCTGTTGTGCCAGGTGGGCGCCTGGCAGCCGTGCCAGGTGCTGCCGGGTGTTGTTTTGGGTGTTGGTGTCCCGTGGGTGCCCCTTCAGGCGACACCCGGCCCTGGCGGTGTTGGGGTGTCGTGTCAGGGGCTGGGGTTGGTGTCAGGATGTTGTGTCGGGTGTTGTTTTGGGGTGCCAGGCGGGTGTTGGGTGTCACCCCATGGGTCCCTGTGAGGGTGACACCGGCTCCGGGTGTCCGGGTGTAATTTTTCGGAGTCCAGGTGTAATTTTGGGGTGTCTGGGTGTCATGTTGGGGTTTCTGGGTGTTGTTTTGGGGTTTCCAGATGTCATTTTGGGGTGTCCGGGTGTTGTTTTGGGGTGTTGTGTCTGTCGTTGGGGTGTCACGTGGTCACCCCATGTGTCCATGGGGGTGACACCGGGGGTCCCTGGGGATGGGGGTGTCACAGCCGGCGGTGACAGTCACACGGCCCTGCTGCCCACGCCGGGGGTGTCCCCAACCCCTGACCCTGTCCCCAACACCCGGGGGGGTCCCTGAGCCCCCCCAAACCCCCGGCACCGACTGTGCCCCGATGGACACCAAAACTGGGGGGGTCTCGAGGGGTCCTGGGGGGGCATTGGGGTCTCTGTAGGACCCCCAGGGGTCTTGGGGGTGTCACTGCCCCAAAATGGGGGGTCTGGGGTCTCTGGGGGGATTTGGGGTCTCTGGGGGGATTTGGGGTCGCTGGGGGCCATTATGGGGCTCTAAATCCCCCCAAAAATCCCCCACCCCAATTTCCCCCACCTCCCCTTTTCAGAGCCACCCCAGCCCCCACTGAGGGGGGGATTTTTGGGGGGCTGGGGGCGCCCCTGAGCATCTGTGGGGTGTTTAATTAGCGCCGCTAATGAGGGCCTGGCGCTAATGAAGCGCTGCCGGGCGGGCACGGAGACAAAGCCCGGGATTTGGGGGGGGGGGGTCCGGGGGTGCAAGTGCCCCCCACCCCCAATTCATTTTTGGGGGGAGGGTCCTACCTCCCATTCCCTCCCCCCAGCCTGATTTTGGGGTGGTTTGAGGCTTCCTGGGGGGGATTTTGGGGATGAGGGGTGGGGGGGGCAGTTTG